GCAGTAACCTGCAGGCAGCAGAAGCACCTGCTGTAAGCATCTGCTCTTGAGAAACTGCTCAAAATTCGGCTTAGCCTCTTATCCAGCACTACATGTAAACAGAAGTTGAGGATGGAGACAGAAAGAACAGGATTTGCCAGAAATGACCACTAGCGGTCTTCAAACCTGCAGTAAGTGCCACAGATTTGCCACAGTGACAAAGTGTGACACTGCCAGGAAGGAAAGCAAGGGAACTGTTTGAACAGAACTGTACAAACAGTTCTGAGAGGAACTTCTTTCCCTGTTACTTCCTGGCACTCTGCAGAGTACGTGGCTGGGGCAGTGCCTGCATCACGGAGCAGCCTGCATGCCTGGGAGCGCCGCCTGCTTTTAAATTACTGCACCTTGGGCATCACGGCCCTCAAAAAAGCAGATCAAACCACGTCATCAGCTGGCTTGCCTGGATTCAGCCACACCGATCAGCACACCGCAGATAAAATTCATGCTCTGCAAATCACTTCTTTCTGACTTTTCCCACTTTTCACAGTATCACTATTAAAAATTCCAGGAAAGGTGCAACTCTTCTCCATCAGTGTCACATCCACCCTGTGCTTGAACACCTCCAGGGACGGTGACTCCACCACTCCCTGGGTCAATGCCCAACCACTCTTTATGAGAAGAAAATTTTCCTAATACCCAACCTGAACCTCCCCCGGCACAACATGAGGCCATCATCTCGTCCTATCGCTGTTACCTGGGAGCAGATGCTGACCCCACCTCACCACAACCTCCTGTCAGCAGTTGCAGAGAGCACTGAGATCTCCCCTGAGCTCCCCTTCCCCACACTGACCCATTAGTCTCAGCCCATTGATCAGCCTGTGCCTTCCTCTGCAAAGCCTTCCTGTCCTCAGGAAGATCAGTGTTCTCCCCGACGTCACGTCACCTGCACCCTCACTGAGGGTGTATTCAGTTCCCTCGTCCCAATCACCAGTTAACAAGTTAAACAGGGTCAACTCCAGTATCCATTCCTGATGTGCACCGCTTGACCTGCCACCAGCTGGATGTAACTCTGTTCACAAGCACTCTCTGGGCCCAGCCATTCCAGGCAGCTCTTCAACCAGCAAAGAGCACTGACCTGCCCAAGACCTTCTCCAGGAGAATGCTGTGGGAGACACGGTTATAGGCTTTACTGAAGTCTAGGCAGACTGTATCCACAGCCCTTCCCACACCCACTAGGTGGGTCACCTAGTCATAGAAGGAGATCAGGTTAGTCAGGCAGGACCTGCCTTTCTGAGCCCATGCTGCCCGATCCCCTGGTTGACCTGCACACGCCGCATGAGCACACCCAAGATGATCTGCACAATGACCTTCTCTGACACCGAGGTCAAGCTGACATCCTGCTTTTTCCTGGATCCACCTTCCAACTCTTCTTGTAGCTGGGTGTCACACTGGCAAGTCTCCATTCACCTGGGACTGCTGATAAATGATGGGAAGTGGCTCAGCAATCACTAGGCAAGCACTCAGCAGTCACTGATTCAACAACGGTCACAGCCCCTCTTGCCCCTAAAATGTGAAATGTGCGCTGAAGGCAACCTGCAAAGCACCTGCTCACACCAAGGTGATGCTGCCTGGAGCCACACTGCTGGCACCATCCCTGCTGGGAAGGGTTTGGGGACCTCTGCTTGCCAGTGGTTTTATTTAGCTATCTCTCAGGTTGCCAAGAATTTCCCATGGTATGTGAGCAGCAGGAGGGAGACTGTTTTTACAAAGTTTCAAACTCCCTTAACCATGAATGGAATTTCCATGGAGAATGATGGTGCACATCTAGTACAAACACCTTCTTCCCGAGGACTTTGAAAAGTCTGGAGCAAATAACACAGACGTGAAAACATCTCAGAAATGACTGCCAGGCCTTTCCACAGGAACTGTCAGTCAAACTGGCCATCCTTGTCCACAAAGAAATATCGAAGAAGGCTTTCTTTACAAAACCTCTCTCCTTCCTTCTTCCCTATCAGTCAAATTTGGTGGCAGCTCGACAAGTCTCTATTAACACATTAGCACTGTGGGTTGTATTGTTTTCTTCTCTCTACATGTGGGAATTCTGGTCTTGGACCTTGAGCCAAAGCTAAAAAGAAGCTCCCAATGCCATGCAATCATGTCCCCAAGAGCACTCTCTCTCCTCAGCACCACAGATCTCTGGAAAGAATGGGTTCAAATAAGAGAAGTGAGTCCCAGAGGAAATCTATAGACTAAAAACCCCAACAGCTGCACATAACCAACAGCTTTTCCTCAAGGGAGTCTTCTAAGCGCCTTCCCACCTAGAAAGTCTAAACACCAGCATCTCCTCTTTAAGCAGCAAACAAAGAAGTGGCCTCAGCCGTGGCCCTGCTCACCCCACAGCTTCCTTCTTCCCAGAGCAGCCAGCCCAGCCTGCAGCAGCCTGCTCCTCCCACAGCCCTCCAGCCCCTTGCATAAACCCACCATCATCCAACAGACCAAGCAGAGCTCACAAACCCAGCACAGCAGGGTGGGGATGGTGCTTCCCAAGAGCAAAGAGCTCTCCCTGCCCTTGGGGTTTAGCAGTGCAGCACAGCACAGCTGACTGCCACCACGGCTGGGTGGGACACAACCACATGCTGTGCTCTGCAACTGGAGATGCGTCCCCACTGCCCCCAAATTCCTCAGGTGTCCGCTGTGGCTGGAACAGCTGCCTCCAAAAAAGTCACCATGGGGAAAACGTGAACATCTCTCAAAAACCTGCAGTTTGAGCTACCTGAACCACTGCCAAGGATCTGCTGCTGGACAAGGGGGATCCTCTTCAGTAAGTTTTGAATGGACGCACTCTATGCCCCAAAGACCCATGGAGAAGCACATTGGAAAGAACAAGATCCTGCCTTAACTGTTAAATACTAAGAAATTTTGGAAAAAGACAGCAAACCTCGCATGCAGAGCCTAAGAATCTAGAAGTTCCCAACAAGATCAAAATAGCAAAGGAAGGTTTGAACAATACAGATGTCTGTGATAGAAAGGGTGTAAACAGCCAAATCGAGTTGCAGAGGAATGGCACTGGAGCAGCAGGAAAAACAAAAATAGCAGGAAAGGAAAGATAAATAAAAAATTCCTAAAATATAAGAGGAGCAAACGGAACAAGGAAACAAGAGGACCATTGAGTCAAAGAAGAGCCATGCAGAGGCAAGAAGGCAAGGCCAGGGACTGAATCCAGCCCCAGAGGAGAGGGCATAGGGAGGAAAGAAGACAGCTGAATTATTTCAAGGAGGGAAAGGGGAAGGTGACTTCGTCAGGAAACCATCTGCAGTCAGGAACAGCAGTGCTGGCTGAGCTGTTCCACATTAAAGCTGTAAGACAGGCGACACACACAGCGGCTCTTCTGCAGAGGTGGGCAATGGCACCACTCACCATCTCCCTGCTCTGGTGGCCTGCTCTTGCCTCCAGCTCTTCAGCTATGTGAGACTATTTTGGGAGGGAAACGAGTGTGTCTGCTTACAATGGGCCCCGTATCTCCTGCACTGGGGACAGCAGGGGTCGTACTGCCCTGAGGAAGGATGGAAGGCAGCCCCTGTCCTCACTGCTGCACCTCTGCAGCTATCAAGGCTGCTGCTCTGACCCTGCTCACAGAGCAGCTTCTTGCTGCTGCCCCCTCCCAGGGATTTTTCACACCCCTGACTTCCCATTCTCTCCAGTTCCCTGAGCTGCAGCCAGCAGCCACAACAGAAGAGGCAGGTATTGGTCACAGACGCCCTGCTATGGCTCAAATGGTGCGGGGTCTACTCACATAGCAGGGGCACAAACCCTTACTCTTTTCCCCTTTGTCTTGCCCTCTGTTTCTCAGCCAAAAGCACTCCTGTGCCACGCAAGAAGAGAAAAAGTTCACTTACAGAAAAAAAACAAAACATGCAAAGCTCAGACAGAAAGGATGCTTATAATGCCCAAACAAACATGCTCAGGATATAGACAGCTCCATGCCAAAATCCAAAGCAAGTGAGCATGAGATGAGCCTGGAAAGGCTCAGGTAAGAGAAACACCAGCAGGCAGCACGGCAGCTACTGAGCGAGAGACACCAGAGCGGACAGCACAGCCTGCGAAGCAGCCTCCAGTCTGTGCCTGGAGCTGCAGACCCGTGTCACTGGGTGAGCTGAGAGCCCATCTGCAGAGCCCTTCCATGGGCAGCTGCTGGCTGTGTGGCTGCTGGGCCGCACGGCTGTCCTGCAGGCCGCCCCATCTCTCCTCACGGGACCGGCCTGACAAACAGGCAGCAGTTTGATCAAGGTGGCACGACTGCTCTCGTTCATTATTTCTGCTCTTTACTATTAGCTAACTTGTTTCCTCACCCAGCCGGGCTCAGCTTGGTGCCTCTGTACCCACTGAGGTTGCTCACTTACCTTCCAACGAAACCCGCAGCTCTCATCCAGCGGGACCACAGACCACAGAGCTCTCTGACCCAGCCGGCTCTGCGCCCACGCCCGCTCACCCGGCGCCTTAACCGAAAGCCTCCCAGGACGGAGCGGGCACGACCTCTGCCGCTGCCCCCCGCTCGGGGAAGGTTTTCCCCCTCACACCGCCTGTCCCTCTCCTGCCCGCTCCCCCCCACATCCCGCGCTTCGCTCCGCGCTCCCGACGCCTCCAGGTCCCCGCTCCACCACCGCCTTTCCTCAGCGAAACCGTGGGGTCCAGGTTCAAAGACCCTACAGCAAAGCCTGGATCCGGGCCGCCTGGAAGCCGCGTGACGGTCGGGGGGCCGAGGCGGTGCGGCGGGGCCCGTCCGCTCAGCGCTCCCCGAAGGCGCGCGGCGCGGCCGCCCCCTCTCGCCTGCTCTCCCGCTCGCCGCCATGTCCGCGGCGCGGGGCGCCCCCTGCCGGCCGAACCCGGCGCCGCAGCTGCGGGAAGGGCCCGCGGGGCCCTCGGCCTCCGCCCCGGCTCCCGCGAGGGCAGAACGCCCGCGGCGCTCGCACACGGCAGGCCCCGCTCCCCCCTTCCGCACGCACGGCGCCGTGAGTACTTACTGCCTTGTGAGGCTCCTTCACCTGAGGCAGCTTCAGTGTCTGCAAAGAGAAAGAGCTGCACTTAGATCTGACAGCGGACTCTGCCCCGCGTCCGACGCCTGCATCGCTGTCCTGCACCGGGCCGTGCAAGGGATCCCCGCGCCCAGCAATGCGCTGCACGGAGCCCAGCGGGCTCGGACCGGCCGCCTCCGCGCCCAGCCGGGCAGCAGCTCCATCACAGCCCTCGCGGCTCCGCTGCACCCCGTGCTCCGTCATCCTGCCCGTCCCAGGCACGGCAGGGCCGTACAGCACGGGCTGCAGGGACCGGCTCGTCTCACGGCGCTGCTCACGGCGTGCCTTTGTAATTAATGCTGAAGGAAATCCTCGTGCATTTCCGGGCAGCCCGGTCTGGTGGTTGGCGACCCTGCACACAGCAGGGGGTTGAAACAAGATGGTCACTGTGGTCCTTTTCAACCCAGGCCATTCTAGGATTCTATGAAAGCAAGACGGCAGCGCTGTGCCCAGCCCAGCTCCCATGGGAGACACGCGGCCCAGGCTGCTGCCACCTCCCCAGGGACTGTGCTCCCTCCTGCAACAGCAGCACAGCCTATGCCAGGGATGGGCCACAGCCACAGGAAGCTCCCTGGGGCCGTTCCACCCCGGCTTGCTGTGAACGCATGGCAGCACGCTCCCTCTGCTCTAATAACGCCAGCAGCACACTGCAAAGACTGCATTCAAGTCCTGAATGAACACAACGGGCAAAGCTGCAAGCTGGAAAACAAAACCCAGTATTACAAGTCAAGGGTTGTAAATGATGAGGACTTCCAAGCCATTTTGAAGTGTGTCATATTCATCCTAAGCTGCAGATACTGCAAGTTATCTACTAACAGAACCACATTTCCAAATATTCCGTGTGTCTCTTGGAATCGTGCTCACGTCGCTCTGAAAGCCGAAGATGCGGAATGGCACAGCATTTTTAAATTTTAAATTTGCAAGTTTAAGTAATGAACAGTTTGCATTTAATTTCCTTCTTGTTTCTTGAAAAGAAGAAAAATAAATGCCTGCGCGTTTGTGAATTCGTACATTTCTTCTGGTTAACCTGCCCGATGCGATCACTTTTCTAGGCAGTGAGATTAAACACCATGCAATTAATTTGGCACAACTTTATAAACAGTGGGGCCAGATTAAAAAGCCTAATAAGTCCAACCCATGCATTTTTCCTCAGCTGCTATTTGTTTGAAATCCCTGCTATCACTTCAGGGAACAGACAGCTGTGGCACAACGGAGTTCTGCAAAATACTGTCCCAGTGCTCACAGGCAACGACGTGAAGGAAAGATACATGCTATGCATGCACCAGACCATTTCTGTCATTTACACAGATTTTAAAAATAGTTAAATGTAACAAGCGACACATCAAGCAACACGCAAAGGCTTAAGGAGCAGATCTGAACTGTGTTAAGAAACGCTGTTACTCTTAGTCATAAGATAAAGTCTTAATGAATAAAATAAAATAAAGAAAAAACCTTAAAAATCCCCTACCAGCCCATTCTAAATCACCTTTGGGCTCAGACCAAGTAATTACAGCTTTAAACAAAAGAGCAAATTCTGAGAAAGCTGAAACATTGTGAGATCAGCAGGAAAGCTGGAAAGCAAGAATGTTAACTCCTGTGTCACAAGAAACTCTCTGTATCTCGTATTAAAATCTGCTGCAGAGCTGGAAGCACGCAGTTAAAACTAGGGATGCTGGGCACAGGGGGCAAATATCTCCCCAGATATGGCATGGCTTTTCAGCAGCAGGTAACCATGCAGGTGAAACCCAGGTTTCTTCAGAACAAAAACACCATCTGCTCAAGATCAGTCATTTCTTCATTAATTTTCTACTCTTATCTCACGGAACTGCTCCAACTCAGACTCCACAAACAGGCACATAGGAAGAACACTCTTTTCCACACTCACAGCGGAATGAGGCATCTTCCTCGTCATATTCTGGGAACTGAGCAGAAACCCTTCCCATAAAATATCAGTGCAAGACTCCAGAAGCTCTGAGAAGTTCTCGGACCATTGGAATGAACATCATCTAAAGACACCAACCGTACTGCGGTGCACGCAGCTTCTCCTGGGCAGCCCCTCCTCAGGGCAACGCAGCAACCAGACTACATCACTAAATAATGAGGAGAAACAACCCAACAAAATCATTATTTAGCCCAGAAATGTTCATCTGGAAATGGAGAGCTTCCACCCTTTATCAGAGTGGAGGCGATGCATCCTGCAAGGGTTAACCTCCAGCCTGGCCATTTGCTTTCATTTGCTTTCTGAAGAATTCTCTGCTGGGTAAAAATTTCACTTGTTTGGCTTCAGCCCAGACGTTCTTAAATTTACTTTTTTTCCTTTTTTTTTTTTAAAGCCTAATAAAGTAATTTCAGCCATTTTTGAGTTACCTAGAAGTGAAATAACTTTCTTGACTCAAAACACAGCTATGTTTCGCTGCTCACATCGCTCCAACCTGACCAAACTGTACAAAACGAAACTTCTGAGCTCACTAATTCCTGAAGAGACTCCAAACCTCCTCATGACTTGAAAAGCCCCACGCAGCTCAACAGAAAGCACTGTACATGTCTAAGGCTGGCCTTCCCGTAGGCGAAGCCGCAGTGTTTGCCCTGGATGGTTCCTACCAGCACAGGCAGAATCTGCAGCTCCAGCTCTGCAGCAGGAGAGGAGCAGAGCAGCTCACAAAGGAGCCATTCAGCTCAAGAACGCAACTTGTTGGGTTTGTTTTTCAGTTCTGGGGAGGCATGGGATAAGGAACACAGGCTTTTCATCTCTTTCTAGGTAGCCCAACTGTGAGGATGCTTCTTACCTACATTTCTGACTCGGCAGAAAGCTTTACGGGGGGTTCCAACACCTGCATCTGGGCTTTGAGAGCAAAGCAGAGTGGGAGCTCACCCCAGCAAGCCAGAGCTTCCCCAGCAAGAGTTCTCCCCACCCTGGGCACTGCGAAGTGGCTGAGTTCCTCCAGCCACGCTGAGCACCACAGGGAATGCTCAATGAACAAGAGAATGCCACTTATCCAACAAGAAACCACCTGTTCCCGAACACAGACAACAAAAACCAAATCAGCCTGAGGAAAGGAAGTCACCGCCAGCAGAGCTTCTCTGCCACGGAGACTCAGGTGCACATACAAAAAAATCCAGGCAATTTCTCTTGAAAACGATTGCTATAATGAAGAACATGATTTCTGCTCTTTAGAGTTGTCACCAGAGTGACAGTCTGAATGTGGAACTGAGCTCAAAGGAGGCATGAAATCCGGGTCTTGCAAAGCAAGGAGCTGACGGGTCAGGACAAGAAGGGAAAGGGCGAAAGACCTCAGGCCTGCAGCAGCCACAAGCCCCCAGCTCCCCTGTTACAGCTGCTACCGCGACAGCAGGCAGTGCCCAACCGAGCTCAGAAATATCCCAGTGCAAAGCAGGGGCAATGTGGAACCTTCACATTTCCCCTCCTGGGGACAGAATTTGTGCCACTGACTGAGGACTGGCTATTGGAATGCTTTTTCATTTGTTCTGCCCCAAAATAATTGTACTGATCAGGTCTGGACCTCTCCCCTCTCCCATGACAAGAAGTAGCCATTGATCACCATCTCTGCCCATCTGCAGGAGCAACCCACAGCTCCCCAGGTCCAGTCAGCAACACAGGAACAGCGCAAGAAAGCAAAAAGCAGCAAAGTTTTTCAAGAGGTAACAGGTATACCTAAAGGAGGTACTTTGCTAGAGGAACCAAAAAACCCTGAAAGAAAGCAGCTGAGGAGAGGAAGAGTAACTCCAGCTACTCTGACACGGGGCTGGTGAGCTGACCTGTCATCATACCCTCAGGTAACTGATGGGTGGCTGCAGTGATGCTCACAGCAAGTATCAGACATAGAGGGAATGCCAGGTCCTGCTCTTGGTCCTTCCTCATCCAGCCAAGAAGAAATGATGGAAGGAACCTTCTGGCAGCTGCTAACTGCAAGTAAGAGGCAAACGGAGCTCAACCTGCAGTGCCTTGGGGACAAGCAGACCCAGAGAGCTGCCCTGCCAGTGCTTCAGGGCTTCATCCAAGACATGGACTGCAGATTCACAGGGAGAACACGCAGAGTGAAGCACAGCACCCTCAGTGTATGATCAACCAGGTTATCTCATGTTTGTTATGGTGGTAAATACAAGCCATATAAAACCTTAGATATGCATCTTTCACCAAAAGTCCTGCAGTCTTCTGCTATTTCCAGCATTGTTGCTGGTACACTGGTACAGCTCAGTGTCTGATTCTCACTGGGTAACAGGACACAGGGCCTTGCTCTACATAAGCCTCTTTTTTTTCCCCAGTACACATTATGTGCACGTTCAGTGGTGTGTTGTTTCTCTGCATTCAGGTACACTGCTGCAGTGCTTTACCAGCCAGCTTGGGCTCTGCTTCTGGAAGAATCACATTTGCAGAGTTGCATCAAGCTTTCAATTTGATTTCTTGTTGACTGGTGTACAAGAATAAATATCTCATTTTGATTTTCATTGTTTTAGGGCAATTTAAATGCACTTTAAATGTTACTGCTGCATGCATCAATTTACAGCAGCATAAAACAACACTTTATAAGTTTCAGAAATATAACTTGTGCTTCTCCATTGCTGACATGAAAATTACAAATGAATTTCCACATAGAAAATTTTGAAAATTTCCATCTTCTATAGCTACACGTTAAAAAGACTTTGAAAGCAAAATGATGTCTTCTCTGAGTTCATGAGAAATCTATGGATATCAATTTGATGAGTGCATGTTGATGCACCCAGACCATATGATGCATAGCCTAATTTCACAATCAATATAAATAAACATATAAATCCAAATAAATTGAACCACACAACAGGAGGTGACCTCACAGCAATACAGCTCCTACAAACTCCTGTTGAAGTAAGGACCCCATGGTACTTGGTGGAAAGAAGTGAAATAAAAGCAATTCTTGCCTCAAATCTAAATATTGCAATTGTTATTGCAAAATTACTGCAGTGCTGCGGAACAACAGTGAAGTCCTCTGTATGAATACATCACAGAATAACAGACTCACAGCACAGCTGGGTTGAAGGGCCCTCACAGCCCCCATCCCCACCCCTGCCATGGGCTGGCTGTCCCCCAGCTCAGGCTGCCTGGGCCCATCCATGGCCTGGGGCACCTCCAGGGATGGGGCAGCACAGCTCTGGGCACAGTGCTGGGGCCTCACCCCCTCTGAGGAAAGAATTTCCTCCCAACATCTTATCTAAATGTACTCTCTTTAGTACGAAACTGCTGCCCTTTGTCCTATCACTACAAGCCCTGGCAGAGTCCCTCCCATCCTTCCTGTAGCTCCATGTAAGTACTGGAAGGCTGCAATGAGGTGAGATTCTCTTCTCTAGTCTCAGTCAGCCCTCAGCCCATCTCCACAGAGTGCTCCAGACCTCTGAGCATCTTCGCAGAGTCCTCTGCCTCAGCATGTCCACATCCTTGTCGTGCTGGGGGCCACAGAGCTGAATGCAGCACTGCATGTGAGATCACATGAGAGCAGAGCAGAGGGGACCCTCTCCTCCCTCGCCCTGCTGCCCGCGCTGCTTTTGATGCCATCTAGCACACAGCTGGCTTTCTTAGCTGCAAGCACACATTGCTGGCTCACATTCAGCTTTTCATTCATCGGAAACCCCGAGCCCTTCTCTGCAGGGCAGCTGTCTAACCCAGCCACTGCCCAGCCTGCGCTGATGCCTGGGGCTGCAGGGCTTGCACCTCACCTTGTTGAACTTCACGTGGTTGGCACAGGCCCTCCTCTCCACCTGTCCTGATCTCTCTGGCAACCCAATTCCTCATCCATCAAATAGTCCATCCATCAAATCCACATCTCTCCAGTTTAGATGTGTGTGTGGGACCGTATCAAAGGTTTTGGATGAGTCCAAGCAGATGATGCCAGTTACACTTTCCTTGTCCACCACTGCTGTCACTGCGTCACAGAATGCCACCACCTCTGTCAGGCAAAACGACGTGCCCTTAGTGAGGCTATGTTAGATGTCTCCATTAACCTCCCTGTTTTCCACGTGCATTAGTATGCTTTCCAGGAGGATCTGCTCCTCTTACAGGGCACAGAGGTGAGGCTGACCAGCCTGCAGTCCCCTTTGTCCTCCTCCTTACCCTTTTAAAAATGGGGGTTCTGCTTCTCCTTTTCCATTCACTGGGGGATTCACCTGACTGCCATGACTTTTCAAAGGTGATGGAGATGCCATAGCAATTCATCCAGCAGTTCCCTCAGGACCCTAGGATGCATCCCATTGGGTCACACAGACTTCTGCACATTCAAGTTCCTTAGATGGTATCAAACCTGATCTTCTCCCATGCTATGTGGGACAGTTGCTGCGCTCTATTATTTTATGGATTTTTTTCTTCAACTGCTGAGCTCCTTTGCAGCAGTATTTAAAGGACTTCTAGGAATTTTCTTGGTATTCAGAAAGAAAAACCAGAGTTAAAAAACAATTCTGCATGTATCTAAGGACAGAGAAGAAGCTCTATGGTGTTAAACAGCACACAAGGGCTACACAACCAAGCAATTGAAGGATGTATTATGTGATGGAACACTGACAAGTCATGGGTGCATGTTTGCTTTTCAGCTGTACAGTTACTGACTTCTGAGAGTTTAAACACATCGAAAGTAATACTTAGCATTCATTATTCCTGGATTTTCAGTTTTCACTGGGAGATCCCCTTGCACTCCTCCAGACATCACAGTCAATCGTTTAATGGAAGACCAAATGCAGTGATATTGCTAGTGACAACAGATGCTCCTACAAATCTGACACATACACACACTGCTCAACTCGGGTGAAAGAAAATACAAACACTGAGAAGTTCCACTTTTCACTCATGTAAAAACACCGATGTAGCTGCAAGTGCCTATGAAACAGTCAAGCAAGACTTTCCCACCTCTGCAATTAAATAACTTGAGATTGGCCAGGCTTACAGAGAATTTAAATAAAATAAAAATCCCTTCTGACTGAGCATAAGACATTTCATGCAAACAACATATTTGGACCTCAGCAAGACCACGGGGGTGATTTCAAGCATCATTTTGATGTGTACATGAAAACACAGGGGCATCACCATTGCCTAACAAAGCGAGATACAAAACTTAGTAACCTGTGCTACGGGCATCCAGAAACAGCAGTTGAATCAGCACCTCATGTGTTTTACCACGTGTAATCCTCTTTTATAAAGAAAAGCAACCTTCTGAGCCTGTATGAACATCCTGAAGGCCTGAAGTTTGCTTTGGACTGTCACTGTCCTCCATTCATGCATTGCAGGGATGGACCAGAACACCTCAGGCAGATGCCCACCCCTGGGGCTGGCATGGGAGTTTGTCTCATGGGAGAGGCTTGTGATCTGCAGCTCTGCCAGCACACAGCACTGCCCCAAAGAGCCCCATGCAGTAAATGCTGTGGTTACCCCAGTGCTCCCAGCACAGCAGCTGATCACAATTTCACTGCTGGAGCGTAAAGCTGCAGCGTTTAGCCAGTCACCAAGCTCAGCCTGTGCACAGGCCACCCAACAGAGAAGCAAAGAGCAACCTTCAAAGCCTACTCAGAGACACCCTCTGAGCCTAAATGTTACCCCAGGATTCCCGAATATTTGAGCAGGAGAGAGATACCTCTATGCGCTCGCACATGGGTCTGGAAACAGTTGTAATACTTGTATTTCTTCCCACATATTCCACACTCATAAGACCCTGAAAAAAAACAAGACAGAAAGGTATACGTCACCACATTAGATCAGGAAAAAAACCTCACAATTTACTTATCCATAAACCAGGGACAAAAGAATGCAGTTTGCAGCAAAGTAATTTTTGGAAGGTTCACGGAGATAAGTGCAGGAAATCACTATCCCAGGCTTGATGCTTTTTTCAGCCTTATTTAAGATTCCATGGCACATTACCCCAAACTCACATTTTCAGTACAACTTTATAAATTTGCTAACATGAAAGGACCTCTCTCAAAATAGCACGACTTATAATTTTATAATAATGACTAATATTTCCTATGGACAGAAATAACCTTGAATTACTTTTCAGTAAGTTCCCAGTATATGGGAAAAAGAGCTTTCCGACTGAAAAAAGAAGGCAGCGTGTTATCTTCAGGCAAGCAGTTTTCAAAATTTCTCAAGAAATGTACAATGCACAAATTTCTCAGGAAACCCATGGAGATTTGGTAAATATCCACCCAGAGGAAACCAAATAGATACAAATAGAACTTCTGACCTTTTTAAGGAAAATCACATGACCACAACAGTCTCTCTTCTCAATTTGTGTATCTAATTCCAGAAAACACACATCTGCAAACGGTCTTTTGAAATGAAACCAGAGGAACAGAGCTGGGAGAATCATTTGTAATGATGAAATCACACAACAAATTCAGTCTCTTCTGTTTATCAGACAGGCAGACACAAATTTCCTCAGATTTATCATTTAAGACAATTCAACCTTTCTTGGCAAACAGGTTATAAATCAGCCTTTCAAGCCCTCACTTGCAAAATGTGTTGCATTTGTCAGCTGTCCATCAGCGGGCGAGAAACCGATCCTGCATGTCCTCACCCACAGAGCAAAGGCAGCACCTCCTGCAAGGGGCGGTGGGACAAAGCAGGGCTGAGCTGCCACTCAGAACGAGCACAGCTTCCTTCCATGGACACGCATGCAACCTCAGAACAGCCTTTTCCTGACCATGGGAAACAGCAAAACTCAGAGACGAGCCACAGATTCACACCCACATGCAAACAAACGCTCCCAAGCACCATCTCACAGCAGTACTTACCAGCGCCACTCGAGACAAAGGAACAAAATCAAGAGTGTTTTCTGAACACACTACGCTCACATTCTTTTTTTCCCATGTCCCGTTGCTTACAGCTTGGGAAGAAAACAACCCTCCTTCCAACTCAGAGAGCACAGAATTCCCTGTCCAGCATGCCAGCATCACTTCAGACTGCCCTTTGAGCTTACGAGGAGTGATGCTCAAACAGGCAACTGGTTACAGTCTGATACACAGGAGCACACACCTGACAAAATATTCTACCACACCCCTCCTGCAGCCAGCTCACCATGTCTCAACTGCTCCACAGCCTCCTAGTTATCACAGCCAGCTGCGTTTCATGCATACAGATACACCTGGATGGTGTCATCGCCAGTCATCAACAGTGGTCACTCTGCAAGGGTTTTCCTGAGTGAAACCCATGATATCAGCAAGTCAACAGCATCTGCCAGACCTATCTTCCATGCCTGAGGACTGATGATGTTAATCACCAACCTTCACAGTTCTCTTCTGCAAACTCTTCCAGCTGGAGCCCCAAAGAAAGCGCAGCCACAAGATGAGCACACTCCTCTCACTTAGGCCCTACCAATCCTGAACTCTGCACAATAGCTCAGGTTCAGCTGTACCAACAGCAAAATGAGACTGACGCCCACCTGCACCCCTAAAGCAGCACTGTGCACATACAGAGCACTGGGAAAAAAAAAAGAAAATAAAAAGCAGTGAGGGGCTCTAGGCTGACCTTTTTCCCCTGCGTTTCTTGCATTCCTCCCTTCCTCTGCAGATAGTCTACAGCACATACATGCATTTGCTTCTGCAGAGGTTCTTCAAGAAAACATACCCCCATACAAGTGACTGCAGTGCTCTCCCTCCCTGACACAAACCAAAATGCACAAGGGACTCTGCCTGGGAAGTAAGGACAGGAGGTGGCCCAGCACGTCCCACGGCCACATATCATCCCCCCAAAACTACCCAGGTCTCACGTGCAGTGTGGGGGAAGCTGCAGTCAGCTCCTCCAGCGGACCTCTCCCCACCTCCTGCATGCAGATGGCGCAGCAGGATGACCCACGTGGGGACAGGGAGAAAATCCAGCAGCCACCCAGGCGGGGGCAGAGGCACAGGTCCCAGAACGAGAGAAAGGAGGGACGATTTGCCACAATAACACGTTAGAGTGAAGGGAAGGTAAAGCAAAGGAAAAGGCATCACTTGGTAAGGTCTTACAGAGAACATGCCTGTGTTGCCTTTGACGCTGCCTCTGCAATCACTGTTTGTAGTGGGTTCTGCCAGCCTTGGGATGCGTCATGCAGGTTAAAGCTGTTTGCAGGAGTGGAGATGGGGAAAGATTTGGGTTAGTTGGTGCATTCAGCTTGGCCAGGCTCCTGCTGAGCCTTGCAGCTGGAATTTGGGCACACCCAGTGCGTTCAGAGCCTTCTCTTGCTCCCTGATTAGACTTTCACACCCTTCCATCACATACCAGACGTGTATCTCAATGCATGGTCAAAAATCCAGGTCCCTGAATATCGATTTCGTGTATATCCAACGGGAGAGCCACGTTCCACTGCTTTTCCATCTAAATTGTGCAGAAAAAATAAATCAGAAAGGAGCCCTTAAAGTGGATCACTTCCAAAGGATAAGGGTGGCCGATGCCTATCAAAAATTTCTGAGACCCAACTGTCCCTGTGGCTTAGTAACAAACTGTCAGAGGCTGCACAGAGGTTAAGTTTTTGCAGCACTATTTTGTGGGTTTAACCAGGGAGAATCCAAAGTGCTCAGGAATTACATGCCCTGAGCAGCTCAACACATGAGAGATCAGTGTCATGGCACAAATCAAGCACATGTATGTTAGACTGACACTCCCAAAGCAGAAGGATTGACTCTTTACTCTGTCTCAGAAGCGCTTCTGATTTTACGTGTTACTTGAAAAATCCTCTCCAAAATACTTCTTGTAAAGCAGGGACCATGCTGAGAGCTTCAACAGCCTTGTATAAAGCTTCTCCTCATCATCTCACAGGTAACTCCAAACAGCCCTCCAAAACACCAATGCTCAGGTATCCCCAGCGTCACACAGTGACCCAACACCCGGCCAGCAGCCCACCCCTTCTCTTGGTTTGAAACGCCAACACCTCTTAATTTTCCCCTGTAATTTAGATGGCTCTGAGGTGAACTTCTCAGCCTCCCTGCCCTCCCAGCCCTGCCCTGCCACATGCTGATGTGCTGCAGCTATTTGAGTGGCCCTGGCCGAGGTCAGCACGTGGAGCTACGAAGAGCATGACAGGAAGGGAGCAGCAGGGCTGCTGACTGGGCTGGGAGCAGAAACGTGGAGGCACAGGGCCACGGCCTGGCATGGGGAGCAGAGGGCCCAGCTGGCTTCCTTTGCTTGGGGTGCCCCAAGGGGGAACTCCTGGGGATTGTGAGATTTCTGTGGAAAAGCAGACGAAAAGCAAGCAATCCAAAAGCACAAACATCAGCACTGCGCCTTCAGCCAGGCTGTGAACCTCTTGTGCAGCCACCGCAAACCTTGGAACAGAAACTGGAGTAGTGCAGAGCTCGGGGAGAGACACGGGACCCTGCAGCCAGGCAGGAGATGGATGCATGAGGCCTCAGTTGATCAGAACACTGCAAGAGAGCGGCAGCAGCTGAGCTGGGAATCTCCCTTATAAACTCTGGTAGGAGCAGACAAGACCATGAAGACAGCAGAAGCCTACAGGAGATGTGCAGCTCAAAACAAAGGCACAAACCCTGCAGTGCATGACACAGTGCAGCCCCAGCACTGAGCCCCCAGGGAAGCTGCTGTCTGTCACCCAAAGCCACTTGTGCTCGGCTGCCTGTCCTCACAGCACCACAAGGACACGGCCTGGGGGGCACTTCCAGAGGATGGAGGGGCTCTGACCCTCTGCTTCATCCTACGCCATGAATTTCTATCGAAAATAACCATTTTCAACACCTGAACTCTCAGTTTCCCCGATGAAAGGGTGGACAATCCTACCAAAGTGCTGCCCTTCTCCACAGCTGAAATGATTTCGACCCAGGACTACCAGATCACATCACAACAACTACTGCAGGAGAATATCTCCTGCAAGGACCAGTGAGCATGCAGAGCCTTTGCTTGGCAGCGGGGAACCCCAGCATCCTCAGCTTCTCTGTGATCATAGGCTGCCCGTAAGCAGCAGCCAAAATCACCAGCAAAGCAGCAGCACGGGACATTTCTCCTGTGAGCTCCACAGATGTCAGTGGCCATGGAAATAGTGCCTGTCTGCGGTTTCTTTGGGGGATGGAGAGGACCAGAAGAATTGACTGGGAGCCAGCTCCAAGAAACCAGAAGGAATTGGTATCTGGGCACCAGGGTTGGTCAACACAGAGCACAAGTATTTGGTGGCCAAACAGAAAAGTTATTCAGTCACCTTCCCAACAGACGAGAATTATGTGAAGGGCTGGATGAATGGGGGCACTTAGGATGCTCCTTGCACAAAGGGATTGGCTGCTGACTGCCAATGGCCTCAGGACCGAGTTGCCTTTAAAGAAGCCCAGCGTGAGGCTATAAAATAACAAATACTTCATTTCACACACACACACTTCATTTCAAGAAGCACTTCCAAAGAGTAGCTCTCCAGTTTACTTTCTGGGCTTTCAACCACCACTTGCTAACCAATAAATAACCCCCCATCCCTCACCCCATTGGGACGGGAAATCATCCCCAGCCCATCCCCCTCCCCATCAGTCGGGGTGTGCTGTGTGCATCCAGACTAGCCAACAGCAAAAACCCACTCCCTGCTTTGTACAACCTCAGCTGAAAACCACATCCTCTGAGGACACCACCTGCAGAGCCCAGCCAGCAGAGTGGGGACAAGGTGTGACAGACACCCAGCTCCATGCAGCTGGGAGAGAAGTTCCTGCTGCCTCTGCTCAGTGGCCTGGGGCGCTGGGAACACTCCTGTGCTTCAGAGTGGCCCATCAGGCTTCAGCTTCTCAAGAGCTGTGAGGGCACAAAAAGACCTGAAAGTACACAGAGTGTTCCCTCCACATTAGAAGACTTCTAAGTTGGAGCCGATTTCAGGCTTCTTAGGCCTTCCTTAAAGGCTGATCCTGCATAACCAGCAGTGACCTCCTGCTCTTCCATTCTAAACAGCTGTCCTACTGGAAAAGGGAAGACAGGGACAAGGATTCTCACAAGATAATCCCCAGCTAACGACACTCTCCAGAGTTTTTTTCTAACAACGAGAACAGTGATCAAGCAAAAACCAGGAGAAAATCTACCATCAATGCCTCTTTTCCCTCCCTCTGCAAGACAAACCAACCACAACAGCAACACCAGGCAGCTCAAGTCAGCTTTCTCCCTTGAAGGAAACCTGGTCCGACCTCCCTCTTCTTTGTATCAGCAGCTGCCTCTGCTCTCAATGGCTGGGATCTGCTCTACATCACAGCCAGAGGAAGAAACCTTTCAGCAGGAGCAGAGCGTCTTCCAGGACTCCAGACATTCCCAGTGCAGTGGGAGAGGACAGCGTGATGATCACAGGGAGAAGAAAAGGATTCTTCTCATCACAGCCATAGGTGGGGTGAGGACAGGAAGTTCTGCTTTACTGTTTTGGAAGTGGTGCACCACAGCCAGCTAACAGCTGAAATCATTCCCACAAGGTTACAAGAGAAGCAAACAAATAAACAGCAAACTGCAGAAACTGTTTTTAATCTAAATCTTATTATTTACAGGAAGCATTTGTTGCCTCAGGGCAACTCTCCTCGAAATATTCCAACTTCCTCTCCTGCTTTCCTCCTCACCTGTGACCAACATACCTGGCAGCAGCCCTGGCTTCACCATGAATTTTATTCAACTGATGGACAAGCGATTTAACACATCAAATGACACCATTATCTTTCTTACAGTGATCCTTATCATGGCTGAGTCCTTAGTGGTGATCAGACACCAAAAGAAAGCAATAATTTAAATAAAGTCAACCATCCTAAGCCAGGAACTGCAGCGCCCCTTGGCTCCAGCGCATCCAGCAGAGCCAAGCCTCCCGGAGCAGCTCTCCAGAGCACCTTTCCTGCCCCCACACCAGGGCTCAGGGCACTGAGGGATGGGACGCACGGACCCGCAGCTTACCGAGCGTCTGCTGGTTGCGGACCCCTCCGATCACCACGCAGATCTCGGCTGGCACATCTCCCTGCCCGTCTTTTATGTTCTTCTTGGAATCTTTGGTGTCATCCTGCCAGATCACCTCTTCGATGTAGTCATCTGGTACCTCTGTTTTCACCTTCACCTCAGTCATCATTCCAGCCTCTTCACTGGGTGAGGACTGAGATGTCACCGAATCGGAGCCCTCTGCTTTTGGGCTCCGTGGGCTCCTCTTCAAACACTCCCTGAGTAGGGGGAAAACAGGGAAAAAATGAGTTCTAATTTTCAAGCACTCACTTCTAACAACTAGAACTTAATAAAAGGTACTTTTGCTTAATGCAGTTTCTTTAAAGTGACTGTCACATTGGGTAAATAATAAAAATTTAACTAGACAAAAGTAATAAAACCACCTGCCAATACTGAAAATAACCTTAAACAACACAAACAACAGTAGCAGTTGAAAACAGCCTAAATCTCTCTTTACAGAGAGAGTGGTGAGGTGCTGGAACAGCTGCCCAGAGAGGCTGTGATGCCCCGTCCATCCCTGGAGGTGTGCAAGGCCAAGTTGGATGGGGCCCTGGGCAGCCTGGGCTGCTCTGAAATGTGGAGGTTGGTGGCCCTGCGTGTGGCAGGGGGTTGGAGCTTCGTGATCCTTGTGGTCCCTTCCAACCCTGGCTGTTTTGTGATTCTGTGTGAATCACTGAACAGGAGCACAGAACTGGACCAGGCAGGTCAACATGGGCAGTCCCAACTCCCAGTGCTGTGCCAGGCGCAGCCCACTCATGCAGAGGAAATGCTGAATGTCCCCAGCATTTTTAATTCAGAGCTCACTCTGCCTTCATGCATTCCTCCATGGAGTAACCTAGTCTTGCAGACTCTCTTTTAGCCCTTCAAAGCAACTTGACCCTCACCTTATGGTTCTCATATGGCTGTGCTTAACATACAGTGATGACTGAAGAGGATCACAGAATCACAGAATCACAAGGTTGGAAACGACCTGCAAGATCATCCAGTCCAACCACCCCCCCATTCCTACCAGTGCCACAAGCTACTAAACCAGATCTTGTACCTCCTCATCCAGGTCCCTCTTGAACACCACCAGGGACGGTGACTCCACCACCTCCCTGGGCAGCCATTCCAGTGCCTGACCACCCTTTGAGAGAAGAAGTTTCTCCTAATATCCAACCTAAACCTCCTCTGGTACAACTTCTGGCCATTTCCTCGCGTCGTATTATTTACCTGAGAGAAGAGGCCAGACCCTTTTGCACCACAGCTCCCTTCAGGAAGTTGTACAGTGCAGTGAGGTCTCCCTTGAGCCTCCTCTTCTCCAGACTGAACAATCCCAGCTCCCTCCGCCGCTCCTCATAAGACTTGTGCTCCAGACCCCTCACCAGTTTCGTTGCCCTTCTCTGGATACGTATGTATTATGGTAACAGCTTCCAGGGAGACTAAGTTATGGGCAGATGCAAGCATCAGAGATGGCAGAGAAGGTGTGGTGGGCCAGGAAAGATGGGCGAGGAAAGCAAGGGTCCATTCAGGAGCAGATGAAGGAAACAGCGTGTGTTGTTATCTTGGAAACTGAGAACCAGAAACTCATGGAAGAAAAGAATCTAAACAAAGTATCATAGAATCCTAGAGTGGCCTGGGTTACAAAGCAGCACAATGATCATCTCATTTCAACCCCCTGCTGTGTGCAGGTCACCAACCAGCAGCCCAGGCTGCCCAGAGCCACATCCAGCCTGGCCTTGAATGCCTGCAGGGATGGGGATCCACAGCCTCCTTGGGCAACCTGTGCCAGTGCCTCACCGCCCTGTGTGAAAAACTTCCTCCTAACATCCAACCTAAAGTACATAAATAAACTCTTAACTCGCCGCAAGAGAAGGCAGAAACCAATGCACCCCAAAGCTGTGGGATAACATCAGCAGATTCGATTTACCAAGAAAAGTGCTGTGGTGGCAAAAGACGGATTTTAAGTACAGCAGACAAGGACCAGGTGCAGCTCCGTTGCCAAGTGCACCATCCCACCACTTGTTCTGGGCTTCCTGTTTTCAAGACTGGTTATTAATAAATTCCAACACACAATGCAATGATAAAATAATTGCTGGTTCAGTTGTACAAAATCAGATGAAGTAAATACGTAACAAGAGCTTAGACTGTACAAACTGGAGATTTTAAAGAGTCTGTGACATTACTTAAAGTCATAAACAACCAGAACAGCTGACAGGAAAAGTTATAAGTAGAAGCAACAGACAAAACTAAGTGAAAAATAGGCTGAACTTCAGGATGACAGTTATTGTATCACACAATAATGAAAAAGAAGGAAAATCCCACCGCTTGGAACATCACAGGAAGTCAGAAGAAAGCACAAATTAACAAAAACAACTCTTGCAATGCTTTTAGATTCTAGTGACAGAGCTGGAAGACAAATCCAAACGCTGCAAGTGGAGGAGAAGGTGCTCAGTGGGTAAGGCTGGGAGGCTGAGATGAGAGAGCAGATGAAGAGAACAATCTTCTGCAATAATTACTGCACAACCTCCTCATGGACATGTAGCTGCTATCTCAAAATGGGTCAATCACATCGTATCACCAGATATTTTATTATTCATCCCCTCATTCTCATTACGGAATGGAATGTGCAATTAATAGCTCCTAAACAGAGCGAATCAGCCTTGACCTGCCTTCGCAATCATTCGCAATCATTCCCATCCTCCTCACACGTTTCCCTCCATACTCCCAAAATCATTCAGGGCTTTCACAAGCAAGAAAGATGAATTAAGACAGAGAAAATGTGGTTGAAAATTGGAAGTTCTTTATGGTAATATTATTGGATGTCCAAAAAGGTCCATCAATCTCAGCTGACAGCAATGCAGTCGAGTGCCTGCTCCAGAGATGCGGCAAAGGCAGCAGCCAGGAGTGAGTACAGAGGGTAGGATCAATTGTAAATCAATCACACAGCAAAGGTGTGAAATGCAAAACACTGAAAAAGGCAGCAAAAGTCCTGGGGAGAACCATCCTCCCCCTGGGGGCAGGGGAGGAAGACCAAAACCAAAGCAATACACTTCTCACTGTTAAGCAGAAAAGCAGTCTGTAAAAGCTGGCTTTTCGCCTCCATTGAGGGCAAAACAGCTCAGTGTGATGGCACAACTTGTACAGGCCAGTCCTGCACAGAGCAACACAAAAATCAATGCAGAATCCCAGTGACGTGGAAGTAAGAGCCTGCACAGCCAGCACTGAGGTTATGCATACAGCTTTCTGAGCAGAAGATTGACAGGAGTAAGAGAGAGCTTCTGACAATGCCTGGCTTTGCAATATCCAGCCATAAATCAGTACACGGCCCAGAGACACAAACAAGCCAAGTGTAGTAAGGTAAAATGCTGCCCTCAACATGTACTGAGCAGAGGTATTTCCAGAGGGCTTCCAAAGTGGCTGATTTAGGGCAGATTTATTCATGCTCTGGAGTTAAATCTGACATCACTGCCGCTAAAACGTACAGCTGACCCAAGGAGAGGTGGAGTCAGAAAGCAAGACTGTGAAAGGGACCAAAACCAATCATCCCAGTCACTCTGAGCAGCTGCAATGTGGCCCAATGCGCTCAACAACGTGGTGCATCAGTCACTGCGCTCATCTCCCACTCACCAGGCCACTGCAGCCACAGGGCTGTGCTCTGACCAAAGGAGCAGTGAGATTTTGGGATACGTGTGCATGAGAGCAATGGGATTGCATATGGAGGTCATTTTCTCTCTGTGCAAAGCCACAAAGCCTGCCCCGGTGCAAGGCTGAGAGCATCGTTTTTAAGTGATTAGCAAAGCTGGAGAGAATTCTAAAGAAAGGCAATGACGTGGTCCAAGAGTGGGAAAAAATTCTTTGTAACTTCATGAGACTGAAGAATTTGAAGCTGTTTTTCATGCCAAAAGGAAGGCTGAGAGATTATTTGATTGCAGCATTATTATCATCTTCACGGGGAGAAAACGCTGTCTTTCCTTAATTTGGCACAGAAGAGTAAGAGCTCATAGCTGGAAGCTGGAACCAGCTGAAATGAGGCATAAAATATTAGCATGGGTGGTGGTCTACCAGAACAACCATTTTCCAAAGGATGTGCTCAGGTAGAACAGATCTCTCAAAGGTTTCAAACCCAGAGCTCCCACACCTGGCCAGTCCCAGCGCTGGGTGCTCCATCCATCCCTGCACTGGGCTGCGTGCCTCAGCCCAGCTTGGTGGCATGAAGCTGCAGGATCAGTCTGCTGGGTTCTTAGAAGCTCTGCACCTCACACACACTGACTCTCCATATCCACCTCTGCCAAGAAAGTTAACTTCCCAGCTGGGCTGGCTGCTCCCACCTGTGACTTAACTCTGCAGGTATTAATTAAAAGCAATACTGCTGCTCTGCCACTGCCCCACAAGTTAGAAACCTGAGCAGGTACTCAGTGTACAATGTACCTCAAAAGTTTTTGCAACTGTCATCTGCAGGATTTCATAGCACAGAAACCTGGAAAAGAGTCTGCAGGTCCTCTCAAAAACAAAATGAAAAACACACAGCACCACTGGACTTTCGCAACTATGATCCTTTGTGTCTTCTGATGCTTTCCAGAAGAGATGACAGATGTACCCAGGTGTGAGGGAAGCAAACCTGCAGCACCAGAGCACTCTACTGAGCACCCCTGCATCACCTGGAACCATCAGGGAGATCTGTGCAGAGCCATATCCCACTAGCATCCCAGGGAAAGCACCCAAGGGCTGAGGTGAAAAGGGAATAAATGATCAGCGCTAACTTTAAGAGGTGCCAGCGCTGTTTTGATGAAGATGGAAGAGCTTCAACTGCAGATTCGCTCCAGTTGAGCGTTCAGAGGAACACCATGGTTTGAAGAATACCTTCACATACATGGAACTGGAGCAACACAGTCCCAGTCCTCTTTTCTCCAGTAGTCCCAACAGGTACACAGACAGTACCTTCATCTCTTCTTACAGCCTCTGAAGGACTGGTGTACAGACTGCAGAGAATTTGTCTGAAGGCTACAAGATCTCGACTTGTGCTATGGGGTGACTTGCTAGCAATGCCAAAGAACTGTGCCTAACAGCTCAGCATGTCCATGGTCCTACTTCATCCAACCATCCTACACCAACGGCACAGAACTGAAACCACTGGTCAGACTGGTTCACCCAGTGCCTCCGTTGCATCTCCCATGCAGCTTTGGAGACAGATGAGGAGGGCAGCAATGGTGGAAGATGGCTCTACTAGCAAACAGAG